TGCGCCGCAGGTCTTCGATCCTGAGCGAAGTGTCCACCCGCGCCAGATCCAAGCTGCCGTCCGGCAAGAACATCCTGGTCTTCGGTGAGCGGCGGGCGCTCCCCAGGGACGCTGGGGTGGGCGAGGCGCTGCCCCTCCCTCAGGTCTCCTTCCGCTTCTCCCCTTCTGCCGCCTGTCCCCTGCCGGCCCGGGTTAGGGCACGGCACACGCTAGGCCTTGGTAGGACAGCTGGAGAGTCGCCAAGCCCCCTGCAGCTGACGGTGGGATGCTTCCCCTGTGGGGAATCCAGTGGTGCTGTCTGGGGTTATCGGTGCATTCCTTCAGTCACCCGGCCACGACATGGGCCTTAACTCCCTGCGACCGTGACCTGTTCACAAGCTGACGATGTGGAGAAAGGAGAGAGTAGATGAGAAGGCTGGATGGAGAAGACGGAGCACATGGCCTGGGCTCGGAGTTTGACCACGAGAGCTTTTCTCGGTCTTCTAGAACAGTACCTAAGTGTCTTAGGAACTCTTCAAAGGACGACAGGCCTAAGAGTCAGCACCGAGGACTTTTCCTTTATTATTTCTATCCTCACTGCTCAATTCCCTGAGTCAGGTCCCTTAGCCCTGTGGCTTCGGTTTCCCTGTACAAGTGAGGAGTTCTGGATGTTTTCCCACAACATACCCAACATACCCATTTTTTTAATGGAACCTATGGGCTGGGCACTGGGACAGCACAGCCCTTAGACACTAACAAGAGTCTCAGGGCCGGGGATTTAGCTCAGAGGTTCCACCACCTGCCTTGAAAGCGCAAGGTCCCGAGTTCAATCCCTGGTACGAAAAAAATAAAAATGAAAATAAAAAAGGACTAACAAGAGTCTCAGTCTAGCAGATACATTGTGCTGGTGATGGCATCATGTTGGCCATGGGCAGATTATTGTGGGAGCATCACATTGTTTGGTGCTGTTGAAAGGGAAATTTTGGGATTGGGTGTTTTGAAGAGTAAGTGTCAATATGCAGGGGCACAGAGTTGATCATTGTGCTGTTTGGAAACTTAGAAGCCTCTTGGTAGTTGCCCACTAAGGCACGGTAAGGGGAGATTTTGAAAGACTGAAGAGTTAATGGTTTTTTCCTGAAGGCTCCAGATTTTCATAGGCCTTTTATCTTAGCTCCATTACCAGCCCTTATGGGAATCAATACTTTGGTGGTTTTCCTATTGTTTCAGAAGGGACCAGATAGTCTTCAGACTGGTGGTAGGTTATAGTGCACTTCAGAGATCTTAAAAAAAAATGAAGGATCAAGATCACTAGCTCTGTTTTAGAAGGATAACTTTGGCTGCTGAGTGACAGGTAGCTCAGAATGAACTGGTATTGAAGTCAGGCTGACAAGCACTCACCACGGTCCAGATGGACTTCAGAGAGCCTGAAAAAGATACGGCCTTGTGGATGGACAGGGGATCATTGAGGTATACCTTTTACCTTTCATGACTGTAATTCTATATTATTAAATCTCAAGAATGTCTAGTGATGTTTGTTGATAATTCTACTTGATATTGGGGGGGGTTTTGAGGGTGTTATTCATTGGTCAGAGGGCGATAAGGAAGCACTTAGTAATTACTGAAATTGTACTTTAGAGTTTTACTTAGAACTATGATTATTTTCTTTAGTTTCTCAACCTTCAGAATATGAGGAAGATGTACTGAAATCAAACAAATACTAATTTCTATTCTTCATAATTGTGAGGAATGATCAGGTTTTCTAATTCAAAGTTCCTAGACTTTGAAGTTAATTCTGTATTGAAAATTTCTTGAATTTCTTGTGGTAAAGTTTATTTTGTGAGAAAGTAGTCCCACCATTTCCAAGGTTTGAATGTGTTAGAAATTATAGGTAGGGCCCATTGTCTTGCCTTTCTCCATTCTTTGTGAAATAAGGAAAATGGCAATAGGGTATCATTTTAGTTGTTGGAATTTGCCGTGTTTACCCTGTCCCCCCCTTCAGTGACTCTTAGAGTCAACCAGGTCTATTTTGTTTGTGAAAAATGAAACCTCAGTTGTGGGTTTGCTTGATTCTTAGTTGTTCCTAGTCATATGAATGTCATGACTTATTTGGTCCAAAGGTTGTGGGTTATTGTTAAACTGATTATCCTGACTTGCATGTTTGTCCAGAATAAATAGTACCCCCTTTTCTTCTTGAAAATGTTATTTATAGGTGAAGATGGTTCTGGTAAAACAACTCTCATGACCAAACTACAAGGAGCAGACCATGGCAAAAAAGGAAGAGGCCTAGAGTATCTCTACCTCAGTGTTCATGATGAGGACCGAGATGGTGAGTGAAACATTGATCTATGGTAAAGGGCTTACTCAGGTCTTTCACTCCTGCAGCATTTCTAGGCATTCTTGGCTTTCTCTTTGGTTCATAGAGAATTACTAGAGAATAGAAGAGATGTGGGTCACTTGCAAGATTTTGCCCACTTGCTGTTACCAAGCATGTTAGCAAAAACCAGGAATGGGATTGTTAGGTACTTGTGTCTACATTAAAGGAAATCCCTAAGATAAAGTTGGACATGCACATAAAGGTAGCAAGAAAGATTTTTTTTTTTAAAGCTGTGGAGTTTTCTTTGAGGGAAATGTTTAGCAGACTGATACGGCACCACTGTTACTCTGCCTGGTTCTACTAGAGAATCTAAAATTTCATACACATTCATGGATAGTTTTTTGAGTCTTTTTGTGACTGTTTAGAAATGTTAAAATTCTGGAGATAGAGGGAATAGAGGTTCAGGGGTGACAGTTTTCTCTTTTAATTCCTTAAAATGTGGATAGTAGCTGGGCATGGTAGTCCATGCCTGTTATCTCTGCACTCTGCAGGGCTGAAGTGGAAGGATCATAAGTTTGAGCCCAGCATGGGCAGCTTAGCGAGTCCCTGTCTCAAGATAAAAAAATAAAGAAGATCTGGAAATATAGCTCAGTACAAAGTTTGGGTTCAATCTCCAGTATTGCAAGCAAGCAAACACTTAAAAATGTAGACTGCTACCGACCGTAGGGCAGCAAACACGGGATTTCACGAGGAGATACAGCTTCTCTGAAAGGTGGGAGGAGGTTCGACGATGACAGTCAGACAAAAGCACTCAACACTGAGGTGAAGTTTGCAAATGCTGCTGCAAAATTTATTTTTCAAAGAGCTTCCTTTATACAGATTTCTATTTCCTTATAGCAAGTCAGGGGCAATGAGCTGATCTCTCTAGGCATCTATTTCCGCTTGCTGAGTTGGCGCCTGCCAAATACATCATTACAGTTTCTCTGAAAGGTGGGAGCAGGTTCGGCGATGACAGTCAGACAAAAGCACTCAACACCGAGGTGAAGTTTGCAAATGCTGCTGCAAAATTTATTTTTCAAAGAGCTTCCTTTATACAGATTTCTATTTCCTTATAGCAAGTCAGGGGCAATGAGCTGATCTCTCTAGGCATCTATTTCCGCTTGCTGAGTTGGCGCCTGCCAAATACATCATTATAGAATACATTGTGAAAAGTTAGCAGGAGTTTAAGCTTTCTTTCCATCTTAGCTGATAATATGCCAGTGGCCATTTTTTCCCCAATGAATCATTGTTTCTCAGATGTTTGACAATATGTGGTAATTCTGATGAAGTATCAGTAACGTCTGTAACATTACATGCTATTTTCCTGAGAACTATTTCCTTAAAAGAAATATTCCCCTCAAATGCACCTTCTGTTCAGTTATTATTTGACTGAGAAGGCTGTGTCCAAACAGTGACATTCTTATCCTCCATATCTTTGGGTACATCTAATCCTTCTCCTTCTTGAAAACCACTAGGCATTTTCAAAAAACACAAACACACAGAGATCAATAGAAAATAAATCAAAATTGTAACAGAACCCATTGTCCCCAAGCTGCAGGCGAAGAAACCAACGATTCCTTCTTTGGCTGACTTTTAATGCGGTGCATGCCAAGGACCTCCAGGAGGCTTGACCCCGAGGGGACGATACCTCAGATCCGGTTTCTGCCAGGTGGTCGGCATTGTCACGCAGATTCCACTGGAGTGGTCGTGGCAGTGGACAGTAATAATTTCTATCTGTATAGTAGTTAGGATGATTAAAGCACATGATACACATTCTTTCAAGGATTAGTTATTACTTTGAAATTTTTTTATAATTATGAGATGTATGAAGTAGTGACCTTTGCTTACAATTACTCAATCACACTCTCTTAAGATCTTGTAGGATCAAAGTTAGTTTTTTTTCTAATGGCTATAAACTAAATTATTGGCACCTATATTTATTTGTTTGTTTTGCACAAAAGTTATCTTTGTAGCCTAAAGGTGAATTGTACTGATTAAATTACATTCATTGTATTTGCCTTTACTTATTTAAACAGTAAGGATCATGATGTAAGGGGAGCCAGTCCTCCCACTTCTAGTCTCTCATATGCTTGTTCCAAATGGAGGAAGCTGAACCAAGGTCCTTTCTAGCACTGTAATTCTTCTGTCTGTTTAGTACAGAGTGTGAGTGAGAGTCTCTTGTTAAAGCTTAGAAATCTGCATTGTGTGAATGCTAATTTAGTGGTCATTTTAGAACTCCAGGGATTTTTTTTTTGTCTGCTCCCCCTGCTTGCTTTTGTCTTGATGAACATTCCCTGAAGGACTTGAAAGGAAGACAGGAGGTGGACCTGGTGCCAAGGTATCTGTCCTATGTCAGAAGGACAGGCATCAGGTGTCCCCTTAGGCCCATTGGAGTCCGTGGTTGTAGGGCTGGGACTTATGGCCCGCTGAGGCAGACCTAGCATGTCTGCATCTTTTGCTTCCTATCTTTGTAGGGCACCCTGGTTATTGTGGAAAGAACTTGGGCTTTGGAGCCAGGTGGATCTGGTTCAAGATGCTTCTCCTGTAGTCAGCAGTTTTGTAGCCTCAGGTAACTGATTTAACCACCCTACACTGGAGATTTCTCACATGTAGAATGGAATGATGGTGCCTGTTTTACAGGTTACTAGAATAAGAGTATATGTGGGATGTAATGGAATGCTGGAGACAGGGTGTTAGCTCTGCTACCATTTTGTCTTGTTTGTTTTGGTTTTGAGACAGGTTCTCAATGTGTATGTAGCCCCAGTTGGCTATAAACTAGTGATCCTCCTGCCTCAACCTCCGAGTATTGAGATTACAGGCGTGTGCCATTATGTCCAGTTGTCTTGTTTCTTTTGAAAGGACAAGATATAGTGTGTGTGCTCTGAATCTGTTTCAAGATGGAAGAACCACTTTTCAGACTGATAATGTCATGTTAGCCATATTTTACGTGTGTTTGAGTTGAAGTACATGGTAACATCTATTTTACATTCCTTTAAGATTATCTTAAAAACTTTGCTTCTGCATTTATAGGATATTTTTTAGATTTCCTACTTGTGAATATTTGTTTGGTGGAAAAGTTACCCTTACCTGTGGTTAATTATGTATATTTAAATTTCCTAGTATTTTTTATTGTGTGGCATGCCTGGGTTATAAATACACATTTCACAGTAGAAGAAATAGTCTCTGACTTGTATCTGCTTTGTGGTGTGATATGACAAGGGACCTCTGCCTTCGGGGTTGGGAAGTCTAATGCTATATGGGAGGTATATGGTCTTCAAGCATGTGGAAAAGTTATATATGGTGGGCAGTGACAAGAGAGATTGAAAGAAAAAGGCTGAAAAAAACCCATAGGTTTGAGGTACAGAGCATTGTTCCTGTTTGTTTTTTTGGTTCTGGGAACTGAACCCAGGGCCTTGAGCATGCTAAACAAGCACTCTAGCACCGAGCTACACCCATAGCCTCCAAAACAGTATTTTTTTAAGGCATTCATAGAACCTAAAACCACTATCTAAAGTATATTAAGAGTTTGAAATACAAGCCAGACATAATCCCAGCACTTGGGAGACTGAGGCAGGAGGATCACTTCAAGTTTGAGGCCAGCCTAGGCTACTATATACTGAGTTCAAGGTGAGCCTGAACTACATAGAGCATGTCAAGAGACAGAGACAGAGAAAGAGAGGTGGGGGGGGAGAATTTGAAAATTAGCTAGATTTAGATAGCATATACTGTTTTTTTAGTACCAAGGATCAAACTCAGGACCTTGCACTTTGCAGGCAGGTGTAATGCCACTGAGCTACATCCCCAGCCCAACCATATACTGTTGAAATAAAGTCATGAATACATATCTTATAGCGTATTAATGGATTGATTATACCAAAAAAGCAACTAATAGGTTTCAAAAGTATATGTTGGATTTTATTGAAAAAAGTTAATAAAATATTTCAGGAATTCTTTCTCAGGGTCCTTTTTTTTAAAAAGTACTTAAAATTTTCTAAAACTGTATTATCAATTGGGAGAATTGAATTCTAAGTTTGAGCATCCAGTTATGAGGCAGGCTGCAGCACCACTGAGCTAAATCCCTGGCCCTTGAGTATCCAGTTATGATTGGGAATCATGTGTAAATGTCAGCATTTAACACATTTATATATATATATATTTTTTTTTTTTCTGGCATGTTATTGTAGAAAACAAAATGTATAAAATAGACTAGTATCATGGACCACAATGTACATAATATAGGCCTTCAGCAATTAACCAGTTTTTGATTAATTTTATTTCAACTATAATCTCATTTTTCCACACTCCATGTGGGATTATTTTGAAGGAAATTTCAGACATATCATCTGTGAATACTTTCATAAAGTATGTCTAAAGTATAACCATTTTTTAAAAAATATAACCATGTTATTATATACCAAGAACTATAATTCCTTAATGTCATCAGATATCCAGCAATACTATTATAGGTGGTGATTTTATCTTGGCATTTAAACACAAAGGTCCTGTCTCTTTGGCACTCTCTGGTATGTTCCCTGCTTATCATGGCTGACACAAGAAGGGCTTGTTTAACCACAGGTTCTTAGGAATTGCTAACCACCTCACAGATTGCTGATATCTTAGGACGATGGATTGTTTAGACTATAGTGCCTTTGGCCAGTGACCATCAGCATCTAAATTATCTCTACCCTACTAATTATCTCTACCCTACTCCTTCGACATTGCTGAAATTTTTTTTCACTTGCAGATACTTGATATGTATCAAGGCTTTCCTTGAACCTCCTACGTAGCCCAGGCTAGCCTCAAACTTGGTGGTCCACCTGCCTCACCCCTCTTGAGTGCTGAGATTACAGGTGTGTGCCACTATACCTGGTGTTCTACATACTTGTTGTAGTAGTTTAAACATTTTAAAAATAAATAGTTTGTGAGGCATTAGGACCTAGAATTGCTGTTCTTGAACTCTTGGACCCTTTTCAGTTAGGATTTATGTTTGCATTCTGTGTGGAATTTATCTTCGTAATGTTACTTTTCTGATGGTTCTGCTGATGATCATTGTCCATTCGTAATTTAACTTCATTTTTTAGATCATACACGCTGCAATGTGTGGATTCTGGATGGAGACCTCTACCACAAAGGTCTGCTGAAGTTTGCAGTTTCTGCTGAATCCTTGCCAGAGACCCTGGTCATTTTTGTTGCGGACATGTCTAGGCCTTGGACTATAATGGAATCTCTACAAAAGTGGGCTAGTGTTTTACGTGAGCACATTGATAAAATGAAAATCCCACCAGAAGAAATGAGAGAACTGGAACGGAAGTGTAAGTAAAGTAAAATTTTTTAAATTGGGAAATTCAGTGGACACTGGATAGTCAGAACCACCTTCCAGTTTAGTCAAGAGACTTCACTTAGATAGAGTTGTGTTTTGTTTTGTCCCATTAATTTCAGAGTTGCACTTACAAATAATCAAGAATACTTTGAAAAAAATATTCAGAGTAGTCTGTCTCACATGCTGCAGTTGAAGATGATGGATCAGTAGTTCTTACTGTCTTTGTTGCTTCTGTTTTAGTAGAATTCTTTCCTTGCTTCCTAAAATGTGATCAATTCTGTGGTTCTCCAGGCTTTTCTGCCGCTTTGCCAAGTTAGCATCAATATGTAGGGGTTTGCTGGAGTCTGCAAATTGGATCCCAGCTCTGGAACTCCATGAAGGTTCTGTCTACCCTCTTGTAGGCAGGTTTAGTAGGAGTCCTAAAAAAAGCTTTGTTTGAAATCCAACAAATACTGTTTTTGTTTTTTATAAGAATAGAAAGGTTATTTTTGGGTGTCATTAAAGTGAAAAGCTATTTTAAGACTAAGGATGTCCAAGTCCTTTTGAAAACAAAGAACTTTCATTTTAAAGAAAATTTGTTTGTCCACCCTCCCCCCGTTGCAGTTCAGAAGCTTGTTTTTCTTTTCCCTTGCTTCTGTACAGTTACATCAGCTTCTGTCCCCTTGCCAGAGAAATGGGAGGGGTCAGGGCTGGAGCTGTGGTAGCAGTGGCTGTCTTGGGTAGGACAGGCTTGGCCCAGTCTGGCTTAGTTCCACAGGATGACATCACTCCCTTTAGTGAATTGACGAGGGCTGTAAGACATGACACGAGATCCTCACACTTATTGGCAGAAGTGCTGAGAAATTTTGATCTGCTTTTCAAATTAAGTTTAATGCTCTGTGTTTTCCTGTTCCACACTTTGTCTTGCTCCTGTCCCACATTAGTTAAAACGGAGTTGAACATCTTATTCTTTGGTTTGCTGCCAGTGTGATGTGTGGGTCACCCACATGTGTGCTATACTGATTGTTATGCAGCTCAGCTCATCTGTCTTCAACCACTGACCTTTTTAGATAATGGTTCTCTTTGCTCTGAAATAGAGACCCTAATGATAACTTCTTAGCATAGTTCTGAAGCTGAATAGCTGTTTCCTGCCCATTGCACATACGCTTCTTATCCAGACTAGTTTAATGCACTGGAGACTTCAGTTCTCTAACCTGTTTTCTTAGAGTGATAACATTGTAAAGATCTGTTAAAACAGAGAAAAAGAGGTAAACCAGGGATGCTGCTTTTTCCCAGATAGGAAAAGTGTCTGCTCATTACGGGGTACTGTTCTAGGCACTAATACAACAGACAAGCTCTATTCTTAGGGAGCTTCTGGCATGAGACACTGAATTTATTTTATGCTCTAAGTCATTGGTGTCATGTAGGTTTCGTTTCATTTGCATATGACACAAAACCCGAGATAATGATGGCCTAAATAAGACTGAGATTTTTCTTTCCTAAAAATTAAATCTAGAAGTAGGTAGTTCAGAACTGGGGAGCTGAGGGCTCAAGGTCCCTGACTTTTTTTGTGCTTCCTGCTTTGTCATTTCTAGGGTGTGGTTCTCTTCCTCCTAACAAGTAGAGCCCTGGCCTTCACATCCATGTTCCAGGGAGCAGGATGGAGGAAGAGGAAGAAAGAGCTGAAGGGTACATGTCTGTCATCATTAAAGGAGGCTGGGAAATGTGGTCTTTATTCTTTGTAGCCAAGTATTGTAGACATCAGAGTTCTGGTCAGTTATGGGGAGGAAAAGAAGAGGACACCGGAGGGCAATGAGCAAAATAGTTGGCCACGCTCATGTTCAGAGGACTCCTGCTTCCCAAATTAATTGACCTTAACTATTGTACTGAGTGGGTGAAGGGCTCCTATCCAACCACGTTTCCAATCCAGCCACTCTCCAGTCTGCCACTTTTGGAAAGCTGCTCTGTGGCCAGCCAGTCTTTTTCAGGGTTAGGGTCCCCAGTGCTCCAGGGTTTGTGGCAGCTGTTTGACTATAAGAGCCGCCATCTGAGCTAGAGGGAAAGCATTCCTGGGAGTCACCAGAAGGTGGTGCTTGTTTATAGGTTAGTCTTTCTTGCTTATGTGGATCTGTGGGGTCTTCTCACAACTGTGGATCCAGTGAGTGGTTATTGAGGTAGGAGGGAAAGATGAGATGCAGCAGCAGCAAAGGTATTTTGTGCCCTCCTTTTTGTACCCACTCCCTTGTACCCACTTCTTGTCCTGAAGAGGAGGTCCAAGTGGGCTGGTGCCCCTTGTTGTAAAATACTGAACATCCTATTTTTTAGAGAGAAATTACTGTCATTACATTATGTGTATCCCGTAAGACAAATTATTGTCTGAATTACACAGTCTTCAATTTTTTTGTGTTTCAGCAGATATGTTTATTTTTTAAGCAGTTTCAATATTTTTCTTTTTTCTTTTAGTTTATTATTAAATGTATGTAGTACATAATGTTTACATTCCTTGTAAGAAATTGGTACATGAACCTAGCACATCTTAATTTGTTATCCTGTTTCCCGTCCCCTCCCTCCACCCTCCTTTGATCTCTCAATCTCTTTCCCTTTTGCGAATGATCTCTCTAGTTCCTATGAAATATCTTTTATTTTGCTCTTTATTTTCACTCTGGTTTTCTCTTATAAGAGAAATATGTGATATCTTCAACTCATTATGTAGCTCAGGCTGGCCTTTAACTCAAAGCATTACTCCTGCCTTAGCCTTTCAAGTGCTAGGATTACAGGCATATACCACCACTCCTGGCAATCTTCCATTTTCTTTACCTGTATGCTGTGCACATTTGCTCTGCCTCCCAACTTGTTTTCTAAAATGCTTAGTTAACTAAAAAGATGTACATTTCCTTTGCTTACCAGACAGCCACACACCATTAAAGTCATTTATTTATAGAGGGTGACTAGTCTTATGCAAGGTTTCTGGGCCATTTTCTTGGCATATGTGGAATATCACAGTTTGGGCAGCACTGTAGGTAATAGAGGCTGTTGGAGCAGGCTGCCTGAGTTACTGTACCCCATCTCACTTCCTGCTGTAGCTCACTGTTTTCCTGCTCCAGGCTCTGCCCTGCTCACTGTCTAGGAAGCCTTAGGCAGGTATCCTCCATATCTTACTGAGGTAAGGCTTTGTATTTTCCATTGATTTGAAGTTTAGTTAATGTTTTTTTGTTGTTGTTGTTGTTTTTGTTTTTTTGAGACAAGGTCTCACTCTGTAGTTCAGGTTGGCCTTGAACTTCACTATATAGCCCAGGCTAGCCTTGAGCTCATGGTGATCCTCCTGCCTCAGCTTCCCAAGTGCTGGGATTACAGGCATGTGCCACCATGCCCAGCTGTTAATGTGCTTTTAAAGAGACTATAAAAATCTTTTATCCTTTTAAGATCTTTCAACAGCCACATCAAGTTCTTCTGTTTTTTTCCAAAATAGAGTAAGAATCACTTGAGCAGATTATTTATATCGATGGTTGTATTATATGCATAACTTAAAGAAAAGTTTAGAGGACCAGGGATTCAGCACAGTGGCACCGAGCCTGCCTCGAATGTGTAAGGTTCTGACTTTGATCCCTGGTACCAAAAAAAATAAAAAAGAGAGAAGTTTAGAGGTGAAATATGACCACATCTGCACTTGAGAACTTTGTTCACTTTTAGTTTACTTAATATTTAAAAGTCAGTTGGTGCCAGATAATTTCACCTTGTACTCTGATTACCAAAATCTCTAAATAAACTCATTGTTTTAAAACATTGAAGACCTGTTCTATGGGTGAAAAGGAGAATGTGAACCTTTCTCTAGGTCCTCTGTAGTGCTGTTACTTGCATTTACTTAGTGAGCTTGTTGGTGAAAGTAAAAGGTCTTAGGGTCCTTAGTCCTTTTGAGTTTTATTAGAAGAGAAGAGTAGCTGCCTATTAGTTTCTGTGGCTCAAAGTAGCTTTAACCATCCTGTGTTTATTTTCTGGCCTGACACTCAAGTCTCAGAATGCCCACATAAAGTGCAGGTCTCTGGGCCTTGTGGTCACTTGGTTTAATTGAGGCCATTGGCCACTCAGCTTGGAGACCCTGCTTAGCCAGAGTGGTGAATGTGTGTGCCACAAAATGTTCCGTGGCACTGACCCTTGTTGTGTTAGGCATGGGCCCTAGAGATAAGACTGAGTTCCCAAGAGTGAGAATGAGGACAAAGTGTGCAGTTGGTGCTGTGCAGGTACAGCCTCATTACTTAGTGCTGGCATAGTGCAGCTGTGTGAGAAGCGCGTGTTCTTACGGAATTCAGTGTTTTGGTAAACATTTCTAATGAGGACTTCGACACGTTTTGTTAGTGAAAGCAATATCTAATGGTCACCTGTGTGAAGCTAGCAGTTCAACTATTCTGGTATTTTCAAGTGGTTTTTTTTTTTTGTGCTGCTCTCTGAATTTATAAAGCTCAGACTGAATATGTCAGAATTGGTATCACCATCCCCAAATCCCTAATGCTGCAGTCTAACATGACTCGATTTGTCACGCACTACTGTTTATACTGCCTTTTTTTGTTTCCTAAAGCCACTGTATTTTTATTTGGTGTATGTATAATATTTTTTTCCTTTTCCTCTGTAGTTGTGAAAGATTTTCAAGACTATATCGAGCCTGAAGAAGGTTGTCAGGGTTCCCCACAGAGAAGAGGGCCTCTGACCTCAGGCTCTGATGAAGAAAATGTTGCCCTGCCTCTGGGTGACAATGTGCTGACTCATAACCTGGGGATCCCAGTGTTGGTGGTGTGCACAAAGGTGCGTCCAGGGAATTGTAAGCATGGCTGGGTTTGGCCAGTGAACAGTCACCATCTGAAAGAAAGTTTGAGAAGCTTTGGTGAATTATACTATTCCATATTCATTAAGATATATCAAATGTGTCAGGATAATTTAACGTTGCTGCTAGAAACACAACATCACTCAGTTTGTGTGTGCTCTAGGATAATCTCCAGAAAGCACTACTGAGTTGTGGGGAAACTCAACTAAAAGTGGTTTTCTTAAGGCTACATAAACTAGGTCATCTGATCTAAACTGATAGTGATAAAGTAGAATGAGATGGAAATAGAAATTAAGTTCAGTTACCGAAAAATAGTGTGTCTCTTATATAAGAAAAGAAGTAGCTTTCAGAAGTACATAGACAGAAAGATGACTGTGTTTTCTCTCCCCTACAGTGTGATGCAGTAAGCATCCTGGAGAAGGAACATGATTACAGGGACGAGCACTTGGACTTCATCCAGTCGCACTTGAGGAGGTTCTGCCTCCAGTGTATCCTTGGGATGCTGTGTCAGGCCCAGGATTGTGGCCTTCACTCCAGATGGAGCATCCTTAAGGCCACACCTGAACTCAGAGTACTTTTCTTCCTGTGTATATCTTTTTAATAATTTTATGTTTTACTGTGGTGTGTTTTTGTTTTGTTTTGTTTTTTGTACAGGGGTTCAAACCCAGAACCTTGTACTTGCCAGGCAGGTGGCAGTACCACTGAGCCAAATCCCTGGCCCCTAGTCACTTTTTATTTTTAAGGCCGTACATATGATAGGCTTTCATGTTAAGAAGCTGAAGTCAGATGTGGTGGTGCCCTCCTGTAATCTCACTATTCAGGGAGGCTGAGACAGGAGGATGCCAAGTTTGATACTAGCCTAGACAACTTAGTGACTTAGTGAAACTGTCTCAAAAAAAAAAAAAAA